ATTGAAAACATAAATTTGACCAACTTAAAAAAGTTAAGTAAATGATTTATGTTTATTGGTTAAATTTATTAATTAAAATAAATTATTTCATATTAATTGACTGAAAAGTTTAATTTTAAGAAAATTGAATAAGGATAGAAGAGAAAGTTACATCATTTTTAATATAAGTGCAAAATAAAAAAAATGACATATAAATAAAACACAAAAGATACTCCATCTGTTCCTATTTAGTTGTCCACTTTAGAAGTGACACACATATTAAGGCACCAATTATTATCATAGGTTAGTAACAATTTTACCTTTAACTTAAAAGATTATGCAACTCCCCAAGTGTAATAAATGTATTTTCTGATTTCAATAAGCATGCATTGCAACTTAGTAGTACTAATTTTTTTTCAAATTAACTAAAAAGCATATTAAAAAAATTATTATCCTTTTTTATTTATTAAAATAGACAAATATTTAGAAATAAATATAAATAGGGACAGGCAGCAAATAATAATAATACAAACAAAATATGAATAAGTTCAAATTTTATGTCATTATAGTACCTCACAAGTTGGAACAACAGAAGTCCCCGTTGCAATAAATTCAATAAAGTTCAAGACGTGCCTATAAGTTGATGGAAACATTAATTAGATCTCTGATGGGAAGAGAGAAGTTATAAATTACTCCCTCTATCCCACATTACATCTAGATGAATAATTAAAAATTTTATTAAAAATATTTATCTCATATTATTTGATTACTATTTTCTTATATTTTACCTTTATAATATATATGATGTTTGAATATTTAAACAAATTTTGATCTAATATTTTTTTTTAGAGGCTAACTAACATTTAGAAAGAGCAAAATAGTGAGTTGATCAATTTAGAAATATTTTCTTAATTATCATATAAAATAAAAAGTGTTTAGAGATGGAGATAGTAATAATATTTTGTCCACTTCTTAAAAATTATAAAATATCCCTATTAATTCTTCATTACATCAATTCAAAATTCCATATAAAGTGATTGAGTGAACTATTAAATTGATTTAAATTAGGAAAAAGTTGAATTCTAAATCCTTATATAAGAGAATCTCAACCATAAAATCGGTTATAACATGCAAATGATAAATTAATCATAAAGATAAAGTAATACCCTAATTAAAATTAAAATGAAAACACCTTTAATGGCTTTAAAAACTCCAAGGTTGGCTAGGGAAGCCGGCCTCTTGCTATGTCACTTGGTATAATCGTTTGGTTACATGAATTTGGTGATGTCTCCTAGGAGAAGACGATGATGATCTCCGACAGCTTCTACTCTTCCTTCCTTATGGTGGGAGCTGTGTCTCATTTTTATGTATAAAATTATATTCTCTTAGTCGCTCGTGTACTTATTTAGAGAAGTTTCTTGGAGTTGTTTTTAAGTCTTTTACTAAAGTTTATTCTTCTTAAGGTTGAAGAGCTTCGTTATTTTCCGCATGTTTAAACTATGTTTGACTAGTAAAAATTCTCTTATTTAGGTGTTAGCATATGTGTTCACATGACTCGGGTCCCTATGTGTTGGATTGTGACAATACCTTCAAGATAATTATTTTTAATTATGACAGAATAGATCGTTACAACTTAACTACCACTAAATAGTAGAGTACTTTCTTATTTGAAAGTGATTCAACAACCTCTCTATAAGCAAAAACTTGTATTATCTTATTTATACAGTACAAATTTCTGATAAAGTTAATTTTCTAAGACAATGTTTTAACCTTGTTTACAAATATTATACTAAAGAATATTCACTTATTTTGAGATGATTCAACCACTTATATATAATACAAATACAAATATAAATATAAAATATTAATATTTTGAGACTAATAATAAATAGTGATGCAATTATTGAGTCATTGTTTTGAATGACATAAACATTAACTAGTAATGGTTGTACTAGGAACAAACAACGTGGGAGATGGAGCCCCTTAAACTCACCACTCGAAGGTGATCAACCCACGACTTACTCTACTACGTGTCTTATCCATCTCCATACATATAAAATGCTATTTATTTTTACGTTTTTAATGTATCATTTGATTTGATATAAAAAAAATTATGTTATAAAATTATAATATTTAATAATTAAAAACATTTAAAATATATATACATATTTATTATTTAATATAAATTTATTTAAATCTCAAAATTTAAAAAATATTATTAAAATAGACGAAATAAATAAAATATTAAAGTAGAAAGTTACGTGTTTCACTTCAAGACAAAAGGAATTATAACTACAATTAATGACTCAACTCGTGATTATTTATGGAAAAGAAAAGTTGTACGAGTGATTCAACATTGGCCGCGTCGGTATTAATAGGGTAAAAATTTAAGAACTAATTATATATATGGCTTATTTTTATTTTTAAGTAGTAATATTAAATAGTTCACATTCCAGATATGATATTGAATTTATTTCGTAATAAATAACAGTACTCTTTAAATTATTTGTAAAATAATTTATTTAAATAAATTACTAATATAAATATAAAATATAAAACTAAGAAAACAAATAAAATACTCTTATGGATATTGGAGTAATTAAAATGATTCGAGGAATGTTTTTATATATATATAGACTTATCTCATGATATTAATTTTTATATATTATTAATATCTTCAAATGAAAAATATTATTAATATATTATATAATATCATGTAAAATATGTAACTAATCAATGTATTAATTATACAAAAGCTCACTTTCTATTAAATATAATATTAAATAATATCATACATAAACCATGATTATTTCTTCTACCCTCCCTACCAAACCACCTCTAATTTTATTACATATGATACAAAATAATATTAAACTTGTTTATGCTATGAATTATCATGTTAGGAGTTTTTGGAGTATTCTAGTGGTTCTGAACTTCTAAATTAGCAATAATAATAAATCTTTCTAACATACATTAAAGATCTAAAATAAAATTACTAAATTTTATCGAACACGCATCTACAATCAATAGTGTATTTGATCATGTTAATTAAAAGTGGAATTGTCACTAGATATATATTCTGTATTTTAGTTAAAAGAGTGGAGGATCACCTAAATTTAGGAGACAATCAGTCTATTTTCCAAAAATATGGGATTTTTTATCCACTATAACACTACATTCACGTTCAGATTCGATTGGAGCGTGGATAGAGAGTCCAAACAAAAATAGATCTAATTTTAATACCATGTAAGATATGACAGTTGGACTTAATTCTACCTCAAAAATTAATTTATGAGAAAAGAATTGTCCTGATTCATATAAAAAAAGTACCAGTCCATTCTCCAATCAAATGTGAAGCTTTTACCTACACTAATTAAGCCACAACTTTAGATAAACTAAGTGATGTTGCTTAAGGGTGTGTTTGGTATGAAGGAAAATGTTTTCCTATAAAATATTTTCCTGGAAAACAAGTAGATTTTGGACTTATTTTCTCATGTTTGGTTGGTGAGTAGAAAATATTTTTCAGAAATGATTTTTAGTGTTTGA